TTTTTTTACCTATCTCCCTATGTAAACATCCATTTCAATAATCGACTGGTTTACAATAGCTATAAAATAAAAGCCAAGTTATTAACATATTTTACAAATCTTTCTGCTTTCTTATCCCTTCCCTTATCTTTGTCTCAATTCCAGCTACAGCACACACCAGATGATTCAATACATTTTTACACATGCATACAATCCTTCACATGACTCTAGGATTCTACCAATTAATTGGCTTCAAATTTCAACACCAACCTTTGGCGAAACTTTCTCTAGCAAGAATGTTTTTAACACTTAGTAGAATTGACAGGCCTCTTTCTCCCTCACTGCACCCCGTCTATAATTTTAATACTCAGAGCACAATTTTATTTCTATCTTCATGTATGTCTTCCTCAGCTAACTGTGCATTCTTTTTGCCGGGCACTGTGTTCATTTATTCTAAATTCCTTGATAGGTACTCTGTTCACTATCAGAATAAATTCCAATTCTTTTCTTTAAGAAATAAATGAATGTTCATGGGCATAGATAAATGCAACTGCCATTTGTGACTCTTATCACCTTTTTGTGTAACTACTACTTAATGACCCTTCCCTTCTAAATAATCAAGAGACATGTCTATTGACTTTGTCATTTTTGGTACCTAACAGAGTATCTGTAATATTGTACAATAAACACATAGTGATGAAAAAACAGATAAATTAATAGAAATGTCAGCTGAGAAATGAAATTGGTAATATGTTGTGCCTGTAAAAATGTAATTTTTGCACATTAAAATATGCTATAAGTGAAGTAAATCTTTAAAACACTTTATTCTTAAAAGGAAGAAAGAAAGAGAGTTTTTTTATTCCCAAATTTTATTTTATTTTGTCAATACACAATGTGGTTGATTCTTGTGGCCCATTAATGAAACCTCCCCATCCCCTCCCTCCCTACAACCTCAAATCTGTTCGCTTGTCGTATCAACTTCAAGGAATTCTAACTGTTGTGTCTTCTTCCCTCCCACCTGCCCTGGTTTTTTTTGTGTGTATTTATTTATTTATTTTTAGTTCCCACAAGTAAGTGAGAACATGTGATATTTCTCAGAAAGTAAGTTTTTGAATGTCCACATTAGTTCTATATTTTAATCAAATCATCAGAATTATCATGTCTTACAGCAAATGAGGTGAGTTTTATTCCCTCTATTTTATAGATAAGGAAACAAAAGATAAAAGATACTGAATTAGTTGTCAGTATACGCCCAATCAAAAAATTTTGGACTCAGGATTAAAAGAAAAACACCACACAGTAAAAATGAGACTACATTAATGTTAGTAAATCAGGCTTTTTGGTCATTGTCTTTGTTTTTTTCCCCATATGAGATTTAAAGATATGCAAATACATCAGTATCATTGGACTCCATTTATGTATTTACTATTTTAACCTAATTTGTTTTTCCTAATATTTACTTTGTTAAGACATACTGTGAATCCCCTAATTGCAGCAAAGAAACAATTATCTTGTTCAAAGATAGAAGATTTTGACTATCAATCTATGTATACATGAAGCATATAGTCCCAAGAAAGCTTCTAGTGGTAGTCCTAGTACTTAAACTCACATCTGTACTGATTTAGTGGACTTTTTTTTTTTAAATGAGTGATAAAATTGTTTATATTTGCAGTGTGCAAACATTTTATTGACATATGCATACATTTTGGAATGGCTAAATCAGGCTAATTAACATATGCATAACCTCACGTACAACCCATTTATTTGCAGTACTAACAGTTCAAATCTACTCACTTTGTTATTTTCAAGTATACAATACATTCTTACAAACTATAGTCACCATGATGTACAACAGATC